CTGCAGATTTCTGAATCTCCGGTGAATCACTTTGGCATATCTCGTCGACTGTAGCAGAATCATTCAATGCTGAGCACGTCCACGAACATTTCCAGACTGCGATTTCATCGGGTTCAACCACTCCATCCAGCCAATAATAACCGGTCCCCTCCTTGAAACGTTCCCCATTCTTGTCCCATCTGATTTTTGGTTTACACTCTTCTGTGCAATAGGGTATTGCGCCCACACCGAAGGCACCACCACAACAACCATTGAGATAGCCAGAGTCGTACAGCAACGTATGAGGCTGATATGTCGAGAGGTCTGTCGATGGGAAAGTAAATTCTTTCTCTCCCTCAGGGGTTAAAAAGATGTGTAACAACGTTTCTTTGTTCCTGACAATTCGACAAATTCGAAAGCCCCACTCGAGAGGTTCGAAACTGGACAAATTACAATCCAACAAATCCCTTTGTTCCACTTGTAGAAGGCTGAAAAGCTCTCGTTTCTCAACTTCTCTGACACTCAATTCCTTTGTATATTGCGATTCCTTAATCCAATGATAGAAGACTTCGACTTCTGGTGCATCTTCTAAGCAACATGTTTCGATACCAATAGGAGATGCGTCTTCTCCACTTGGTTGTTGTCCAGTGGGATTGTCGAGTTGTAGTGCTGAGATGGGAACAACTTGATCTTGTGTGTGATCTGTTTTTCTGTCGCGTAGAGTTCCAGAAGTATCATTTGAATCCTCTTCCAGTAAAACAATGGGGAGGGGAAGGTTCAAACGATCTGAATTCTTGATGTCTCTGTAGACTCGTACTGTCTGGTTTTCGTTCGGTGGATTACAACTGGTTGAAGGATGAGAGGCTGCAGAAAGAGTCGATTTGGAGTCTTGGGGTGCAGGAGATTTTGGTATGTCTGCACTGAGTAGATTATTGAACGAAACGCCTCCAGTCATTCTTCTCAGGCTAGCAAATGTGAGTGGAGTGGTTTGTTTTTTCCTTCGTTTGCCATCATCGGGCTCTTTTGGGTGTGGTCTCTTTCCAGACGTTGTCAGTTGGACTTTTGGAGAATCGATTCCCTCTGATGGATCTTCAAACTTAATCTGAGGCTCGCTGTACAAATAAAGTTTCTGTTTAGTTACATTCAGTTTTCGACATCCAAAATATTTCCAAAGATCACAGGGTTGATCATCCTTGTCCCGAAAACCTCTGAGGAACCTCTCTCTGAAGTTCCCGATGTGAAAGGTGTTGGCGTCAGAATTCCAAGGGTTTTCATCCCGAAATTCCTTTTGTCCCAGTGTGGAAAGATCTTCCGTCGAATATTCTTCGGAACGTGACAATTCCAAAGTCACCATGGCCATGTGTGGAGATTTTATTTGAATGAAATTACCTTCAAACTTATGCATCCTGCCCAACTGAAGCTTGGCTGTTTTTGATGTGGGACGACCAGTCGGACGATTGATTTGAATCGGAGATGAAGTTCTTGGGATGGGGGACTTCTTTGATTTGGTCGAATTCACGTCCTTCTTGCCTCCCCTTAATTGCTTCACAAGATTTGTGATTATTTGTTTGGCTTCTCCCTCGTTGATATTCTCCTCCAGATTCTTTTGCTCACACGTGTAGACATCGTACTGTTGTACTTGGGGATCAAGAATAATTTCTTGTCCCACAATAGGTAGCTCTCGAACATTTTCTTTATTTTCTCGACAAATGAGGCCCTGGGCCTCTGGGAAATGATCTCTAAGAACCCTCAGTTCAACGTTCCCATTGTCGTTAATGGGAAGGAAGACTGTGTGTCTTCCATGCGTCACAGAAATTTTTCCCATCTGAAATAAAAAAATAAAAAAAATTCCTGCATACGTTCTAAAAAAAATGATAAGAATGAGTAAACTACAAGATAATGATTCTCCTATCATCTGATTGAAATAACTGAACATAAATACTCGCTCAGTATATGCAATTTAACGGAAATACGAAAAAAAAATTTGATCGAATGAAAATTGGGTTGCGAGAACCCTTTCGAAGCCAAGAATATGGAAAATTCAGTTTTCGTCCAACATACGAGGGGAAATGGCTTGAAATCGAAAATTTTTCTCTCAGAGACAAATCTAAAATTATTCTCAGAACAGCACCGAAAAAATCCCTAAAGAATTATATTCTTAAAGAGGAGCATTCGTGGGAGTTGTACAGACGTTCTAATGACTCAACCACATCAGACTCCAGGTGATTCTCAAGCTGTAGCTCTAGAACCCTAGGGGGATGGCGAGCTTCCACGAAGTGAAACGCAAGTTCGTCACTCACCAGAAATTAAGAGATTGAAATTAAAATCTTACAACAATTGAGAATTGAAAAAAATTGAATCTGTTAATCTCGATCATTTTATTTCTACTTTTTTTTT